AAAAAAAGTTAGATTCACACCTCATATCAAATGCCAGGATAAATTCCAAAAGGATCAATGGTTTAAATGTAAAAATAAATCCATAAAATACTAGAAGAATATAGAAGAAAATCCCTTTACAAGGAGTGGATTTGGGCTTTCAATACCCCAAAACCCAGAATACACATAGAAAATGCTGATAAATTCATTCAAAAGCATCTGCGTGGGACTATCACAATAGGCAAAATCAAATGACAGAGGAGAAACTGGGAAAATACGTGCAAGTCATATCACAGGTAGGAGCTAAATCCTCCTGATTTACAAAAGCTAGAGATTGGTAAGATATCCAAAATCTGAGACAGAAATGAGCAAAGGATTAAGAACATCAGTGAGGAAACAAAAAAAGATGCCTAACCTCACTCATAATAAAGGAAATGCAAATGAAAACTAAAACTGATACCTACTTTTCACCTATCAAATTGATAAAAATCAAGACGTTTGCTCTCCCACCCTATTGGCAAGGCTGTAGCAATGGCGGGACTATGTATCAGCACGAGTCCTAGGAAGGGCAACTTGGCAATATTTTCAAAATGACAAATCCAAATCCCCTCTGAACAGGCCATTTATTGCACAGATATACTTGGCACAGTATAAAATGTACAGAAGGGAAAAAAATAGGAAAACACCTAATTCCCTCAATAAGGGCTGGCTATGTAATTTATGGAACAATTACGTGATAAAATTCTATGCAGCTATAAAAAACGGGGGATGGGGAAGCTCTCTATGAATGGAATAATCTCCAAGATATACTAAGTTTACAAAGCACAGTGCAAACAATGTTCGTATAGTATGCTACCTTTTGTGTATAAAAGAGGGGATTTGAGATTGTGTATTCTGCCTTACGTGCAAAAAGAAATGCTGAAATGAAATGAGTAACACTGGTTACCTGTGGTGGGGGCTGAGACAGAACCTGGGTGGATGAACAAGTAGAGGGAAATTTTGCATTATAGCCATTTTTATTTATTTGGTGATTTATTTTTAAAACCATGTGAATGCATTTCATATTCATAAATAAATTTTAAAAATGCAAATAAGTATAAAATTATAATTTTGACAAGCATTAGGATGAAAAGGTACATAGTGCTCTGAGAGCACAGAATGGGAACCCTGAGCTTTCTCCCTGAAGAAGCTGCCTGTGAGCCTGGACCCCGAAGCTCAGGAGTAACTAACTAGGTGCAGAGGGTGGGAAGATCATCCCAGGCCTGGGGGATAGAGGTGGGATTCAGGTTGTGGCACTGTTTGTGAAACCCAGCACATTGAGGGGACTGTGCACGTGCTACTTTGTGGCTGAGGAGCTACAGTGCAAACCCCAGGTCTGGGGCTAGCTAACTCAGTCTCCCCAACAGGACTCACTATGTCAGAAATTCTAAACTGGCCCTTCCTCCTCGGCAATCTGGGAGTCCTAGGATACAAAGGTAGTGAAAATGGCTACCCTCCTACTCTCTCTCACACACACACACACACACACACATGACCCACTGCAGCCATCTCCTCCCTGCCTCCTAATCAGGAGAAAAGACAGACCCATGTGCCAGCCATCTCTATGTCCTGCCACAGGATACAGGCCCTACCTACTCCAGTGAGGCCCTCCTCAACTTCCTGAAGCCCAAGTATTGCTACAAGCTTATTCGAAGAGGAGGAGAGGAAGAAAGGGAGCAGGAAACGGCCTCTCTTTCCATCATGTGGTTGGCCAGCTCACCACCCTGCTGGGGGTGAGCAGGGTGGCAAGCAGGACAGGGTGATGTGACAGGCAGCAGCTTTGGCAGCCAGCAGAGCAGCAGAGTGGAGCTCAATGTGGGCTTCTGGAGACAGCTCAGCCCGGCCCCAGCTCTCAGGATCCTCTCTGCCCCTGCGGCTGTTGTACCTCACTGGCCTTGAGCTCGCTCACATACCCCAGCTGTCACACCCCGAACCTATCCTCCAAGGTCTGGACTGGAAAACTCCCTGTGGGTTTTTGCCATGAGACCAGGAGAGCCCTCACAACAAAAACCCACAAGGAGTTTTCTAGTCAGACGCAGTCCTATCTGTAGGAGGTTCTGGCCATGTGGTCTGGGTGGGGGGAGTTCCTGTTACAGGGCCTCACCTGCCACATGGAACTGGCTTCCAGGCCCAAGCCCTCACCTGGACCCCTCTCCTGGGTCCTCAGACAATAGAGAAAAGCAGACTTCATGGAGGGAGGGAGTCTTGGATGATACAGAAACTAATAAAACACTGTTACCCCAAAATGCCTGCTCTACAGCCCCACAACCCAGGCTCTCTTCTCCTTGAGGCCTTTATGCACAGGCAGACACATAGCCTCTCAGACCCCCCATTCACCTCCTGGGATGAGGAAATGGGGTGATTCGGACTTGAGGATCTCCAAGCTAGAAGGACACTGAGCCCACCTGGCAGACCCCAAGATGATACCACAACCACTCTTAACTGGCTCTTAACTCACCATGCTGGTGGCAATCCCAGCTCACACCTGGGCCTGGACCCTTTCCCAAGGACAAAGCCCAGCCCCTTGGGCAGGGGTAGTGGGGGAAGGCTGCCAACGAGAGGCAGCTGCGAAAGCTGCTGGGCTACTGTGAGGATCCCCAGGAAAAGCCCTAAGTCCATTTGGCTGGAGAAAGTTCCTTGAGGCCTGGAAGCTTTTAGGGAAAACTGAAAATTTAGAAGCGAGTTGCGCAGAAGGAAGGGCTTGTTTGGGGCAAGTTCGCAGTACAAGATGGCTCTTTCCCAGGCTCCTGCACTGAGAAGCCAAGAAGGGTGACTTCTTCACCCTTCAGTGGGAGCTCACCACTCCCACTGGCGCAGGCCAAGGGGCAGAAAGTCAAAGTCCAAATGAGCTCCTTTGCCTGGATATGTCCCTCCACAGCCCTGGTCTGCATGACCAAAGGCTGCTCCCTCTTCAGTGATGCTTCACCAAATAGGTGAGGATATGGCAGCTAGAGCCCTGAGTATAGAAAGGAAAGTGGAGAAGCCAAGCAAGTGCCGGACCAGGGAGCAGAAGGCATAGGTCCAAGCACCTGCTCATACTCCCAGCCTGAGACAATCACCTGAGCCTTGCTGCCCCCACAGGGAGTGTTGTAGCCAATAAACTGCAAGTACTGGGTAGGGCTGAGGATGAAGGGGAAAGAAGGAAGACGCTCTGCATCCCATTCCTCTCAGGAGAAAGCTGAGCTCACATGGGCAGTATCCCTATTGCCAAGGAGAGCTGAGACAGGCAAGGCAAGTGTAGCCAGGGCCACTCTCAGCGTCACGAGCCCATCAAACAGCCTGACGGGCCCAGATTTAAGACTAGATGCAATGTTATCACAAAGCTTTCATAGACCCAGTTAGAGCCACCAAAGCAGTAAGCCAGGCTGGAAAAACCTATCCCTGGCCTGTGGAAGCCCTCTCTCTCTCTCCTGCTTCCTAAGGAAGGTGAAGCTCTTCCTCCCTTGATCCCTCCCCTTCCACTTCCTGCAGGGGTCAGGGAGGTGGATGAGTCCTCTGAGATGCCCCTGCAGCTGGGAACCATGATAGCAAACTGGCACATCCAGAATCCTCTCTACAGCTTTGATCCCTAAGTATTTCTGGCCACCCAAAGATGAAGCTCCTGCCAAGCTCTGCACTCACCGCCCGTGGGGTCTGCACGTGTGTGCAGCTGTGGACAGAGACCGTGCCTGTGGGCTAGGTTCCTGGCCTCCCAACACAGAGGTCCTCCCTCTCCTTTTGAGGCTGGTGCCACAGCCTGGCCATGCAGAGGTCAGGTAGGAGTTGACTGGGCGCAAAGTCTTGGCCAGGATGGTAGCCAGGGAAGACCCAGAAGGCCCCTCTGACTCTCCTGCTCTGAGAGGTCGGGACTTGGCTGACCCTTGCCACGGGGCATCTGCCTGCCCTGCATGGGAAATCCAGTATAGGCACTTGCAAGACAGATAAGTTAGGAATTGATTATGTTAATTAAGCATTTTCCTGGTTGTTTATAGATCACCAATGACTTAGAAGAGCACCGAACAGACTCTGAGAAATTAAAATGAGGAGCTGCTTACCAGTTACAAACTGATCAATCAGAAATGAAGCATTGCTGCCATTTTCCATAAGGAATTACACTTCACAGAATCCTGATTTACACACAGCTCCCCAGAAACAGAATTGGGCCATAAAAGAGGTACATACCCACACATGTCCACCCACGGCATCCACGCCTACTCTAGCAGCCCCTGCCCTGCACTTCCACAGTAACCAAGGGCAGCCTAGAGGGGTGGGGCTTGTACCCTGGCAGATAGTACCAGGTCCCCAGGCTTCTGTTTGCTGCACACTTGAGCTAAAAGTTTCCACATAAAAATCTCCTTTTTGTGGGACTGCCAGGGCCAGATGGGGAAAGAATGAGCTCGGGCAGCCTGGATGGGACGTCAGCAGCAGCATCCCTGGGGCTTCAGAATTTCTTTGGAGAGCCAGAGCCCAGGCCAGGCCAGGCCAGGCCGGAGCTAACACATGAGCCAGGGCAAGGCCCTCCTTTCCAGAGAGTGGGTGGCTGTCAGGCAAGACAGACAGTACTCGTCAAAGAGGAGCTTCAGAATTCATCAGTGACTCGTTCTCAAAAAGGTTTACTTGTCTTGTGTCATGCGTCAGCAAGGCCAGATTCGGGAAAACTGAATAGCTGAGAGATGTGGCCCATCGTCATCATCATATTTATTTAGAGCCTCCTATGTGCAAGGTGCTTCCTGAATATTTTCTCATTTAAGTCTCATAACCACAAAAGGTACATATGGTCATCTTCACTTGCTAGACAAGGAAACTATACCTCAAAAAAAACTAAGACACTTGCCCAGCCAGTTGGTGGCAGGGGAAGGATGCACAGCTGTCTGAGGACTCAGAGGCCTGTGCTGCTTCTACAAACTGGCCGGGCAAGTGCCAAAGCCTAGAGCTGGATCACTAGGGTATGCTCTCCCCACCCCCATCCCCGCCTTCCAAAGCCAGGCAGTCCCCAGTCTTACATGGCCAAAAGGGTCTAGGTGGTTGTTTGTCAGCTTCAGCTTCTGGAAGGAGACCAGCTGCCGCATCCAGTGGGCCCCCGTGGCAGGAGAATCCGGGTGGACATACAGCCTGCCTGGCATGGCCGGCTCAGCTTTCCCTGCCACCATCCTGCCAACAGAGCAGACAGAGCAGTTGAGCACCCTGGAGTCTGGTGAAACCATATCCCCTGTCCCCTGTGAGAGAAAACCCCCATTGACCAGAGGGAAAAATAGCTGCAGGTCCCACCACACCATCAGTTTAGGACTTCCAGGGCAGGAGGGAGGGACAGAGGAGAGAGTGCTGAGGAAGAGAGAGAACAGTTCTGAACCTCTTTTATTTTACTGCAGTAGAAAGGGAGGTTTCGGGGAAATGTGATCATTGATTTCAAGGACTGGGGCTAATCACAGACACTGTAGGGAGATTTAAGCTTCTGTATATGTGTTATATTAATGATTTTTAAATGCTATAAACTATACTATTTGGAGGGAATGTCTCAGAGGACCCAGACAAGTCTCAAATTGCCTGTCCCAAAAGCACTGGTAAGAAATTAATTGGTGGCTGTCCCCTCAGCCAGAGCTTGCTCTGAGTTCTAATGTAGCCCAGGGAGAGAGAATAGAAACATGGCACTTGTCAGGACCTTGCCACCAAATCCTGCCCCCTCAGCCCAATCTCTGCCCACTCCACTGCTCACCCACTACAAAGCCCAGCGTCCTGGCCAGCTGCTCTCTCTAATGCTGCTCTGATCTCTGCGGGCAGACGGGGTGCTAAGGAGTTGGCCTCATGACAAGTAGCCCAGCATTTATTTACCTGGCCCTGGTTTGGTTTGTGCCCCAACCTGCTGTCTCCTCCAGCCCCTTGGCAAAGGGTGCTATCACCCACCCCTGGGCAGCAGCCTCACTTAGTCTCGATGGTGGACACACAGCTTAAGAGGGAAGTGTGTGGAGAAACAGGAGAAAGCCCACCACAGACCAGGTAATAGCCCTAGCTATTAATGTCCCCCAAGACAACCATTCCCATGCTCCTCCCCAGTGAAGCACTGACAGAGCCTGAATCTGCCTCATGTTAGCAATTTGTCCATCACTTGGTGACAGCACATTCACCAAGTCCTGGTTGTCCATGACTATGGGGAGAGGATGGACCCTTGAAATCCACCAAACACCCAAACACTGCAGCTGATTTCCAGCCCCAGCACCCCTGAGGTGGGTATGTGGACATTCACTGAGGCTCTTCAGCCTGTGAAGAGCAGTTGAGGGAAGGTGGGTGATGTCACAAGGGTCCCAGGCCTCTTACCATTTGTTGTCACAGAACTTGTAGCGATGGTCATCTGCAGGGACGATGTCAATCAGCAGGATGTACTTGGTCTTAGGGTTCATGCCTGTGACTTTTACCTTGTAGCTGGGGAACATCCTCCTGACGGGAGCCAAGGGGTGAGGAGGAGCATGGACAGAGGACCGGGAGAGACAGCACAGTGAGCAAGGCGGCTAAGGCCTTTAACAGGCACTGCCCTTTGAGTGAGCAACCTTGGCCCTGGCGTAGCCATATAACTTGCATGACTCGTTTCCCCCTCTGCCCCTGCTGCACAAAGAGAGGGCTGCACTAGCTACAGCCATCAGTCTGTGCCTAGGAAGAATTTGTTTACATGGTTTGCCAAATTCACATCCCCTCTCCCCAACAATCCCCTAAGATTTGGGCCTAGTGGCTGTGGGCAGCTGAAGCACAGAGACCCTGGGCAGGATTGTGAGAGCTACAACCCCAACCTGGCTGCTTTAATTTCCCTCCTGTCCTTTGCCAGCCCAGACACAACTGAAGTTATGGTGTGCAACTATAGGGGGCCAGAGCAAATGACCTGAAAACCCCTGTCAGCTGCTTCCATAACGATGAGACGCCTCCCCTGGGTCATGTCTCTGTGGAAACCCTCAGGCCTTAAAACAACTCACAGGAAAACAGAAGACTGCTACTGAAAACGTTGCTAGGTCTGGATCCTTTTGGTGTGTTTAGCAGGGGTTTTTCTCCCTGTGGATGCCTCACCTGGGCCTATGCACCCTTACTGGGTATCAGGGAAGGTAGGTCCAGGAGCCTCGTGGATGAGAGACAGCACAGGTTCTGAAACCGCCCTGCCATGCTCCGCAGCCTGGCCCCACAACTGACAAGCTGTGAGTACTTGGGCAACTTGCTTGAATCTCTCTGTGCCTTGGTTTCCTTATCTCTAAAACAGGGATAATATTACTATCTCGTAGATGGCTATGTGGATTAAATGAGTTAATTTACGACTATTACTACTGACCCCTACTGCATTCCACCCTCCACGAATCAGACCTACTTCCGTAAAAATGGATTCACCAAAAAACAGAATGTTTTCCACTTCTTACAGCCCATGCGGAGGCTGTCCAGGACCCTGAGGCTCAGGGAACATTCTAGAGAAGGGCTTCCCCAGACCCCTCAGCACATACACACATACAACAGCATGTACACACGCCGGCTGGGGCACGGCTCCCTCCCCTGGTCAGCAGGTCTCTGACACTGCTGTGGGGGGATGAAGAGAACTTCCTCATAATCCTCAATACCCCCTGCCCCCACTCAGCTGATCTTCCACAAAGATGCTCCCCAGGAGAGGCAGGGTCAACCCTGACTGAAGACACTCAGGGAGATGGGAATTCGCCCCCTTGAGCTGTAGCACTGCCCAGCCAGTCCACTCCAGGAAAACCATCAGGTGGTCCTCTGCCTCTCACTAACTCGAGACAGTGCGGGACCCTCACAAGAAGCTGTCCTGGACACCTCAAACGGATGATTAGAGTCCCTACTTTGTCAACAGGGGCACCAGCTTACCTGGACGAGGCAGGGCTTCCAGAAGGGATCAAGGCCTCCACAAGCTGGCAGACCCTACAGTAAGCCCAGGCCAAGACCCTGGGGCTGAGGGTGCAATTCCACACTGGCCCAGCCCCCAGCTCAGCCCAGCCTGTGCCCCTCTCTTGCTGGAGGAGGCCAATGAGAGCACTGCAGGGTGGGGACGTGGGGTGTGTGCCTCGGGTGTGCCCAGGAGCACGCTGTGCGAGTGCGCATGTGTGGATGTGTGCGTGCCTGGAGGGAGGAGGGAAGTTCTAGCTGCAAGTCCAGGGACTTATAAACCGTGTGGAAGAATTTGTCTCAGATGTCAATTGAAAGCATTTTCAAATGTCCACCCCACCCCCTCTCCAGGAATGGGGGAAGTGAGGGGCTCAGGAACCCAATCCTCCCTCCTGCTTACCAGCCCCCCTGTCGGGCCTGGGGGCACAGCTGGAGCTGCACCACCCTTTCCTGGCCCTGCCTCTCTCCTGGTGGACTTATAGCTGAAGGGGGAGGGTGGCAGCTGCCTTACCTCCCCCGCCTCTGGGGAAAGGCCAAGAATCCTGTCCCCTCCAGACCACCATTTTCTAACTGCCACAGAAACAGCCACAAAATGGGGCAACCTTGGCCATGCTTGGGCTGGCGTGGCACCAGTGGCCCGCACTTAGCCTGTTTCTCCTGTAATCATTCCAGGTGGCAACAGCAGAGGGCACCCATGGCTTCTCTCCAGGGCCAGCAGCCACGCAGGGGGTGAGGAGCAAATGGCTCACTGCCACTTTGCCAGTCTTCATAGTCTAGGCTGAGAGGGGGTTGCAGGGCCTCTGACCCTCCCCTTATACGCCCTACTAGCTTCATCTCAGTAGCTCAGGAGGCCAGTCTAACATTGACTAAGTGCTTTCTAGAAGGCCATTGAGGAGTCCTGTGCTCTGCCTCCCAAGGCACAGAACCACTGTCTTGTGATCTGGCCCCTCACAGAAGCTGACCACAGACCAGATTCCTGACTGACAGCAGCCTCCGTTGCAGACAGTGGAGCAGGGAAGGGGAGTATCTCCTAGCCTGCCTCCCGTGCCCACCAGTTTCCCTCTTCCTAGGGCGGTAGCCCTCAGAAGCCAGGAGGGTAGGCGAGATGTCACATCTGAATGGGGAGTGCTGGAGTCCTCTGTTCTGGCTGCACTGGCCACTGGCCGGGCTCCGGAAGCTCCACTGCCTTCATGGAACCAGATGTCTAGGTCTCTGGGAGGGTCCAGTTCGGGGACTGCTTCTGGGCCATGCAAAGCAAACTCTGGGGGCCCCCAGGCACTATCATTTCCCCACCCAGGTGGCTCCAGAAGGATGAAGGATCCACCCAGGGCAGGGGCAGGGCTGAGTGTGAAGGTGAGGCACACCTCTGCCCAGGCTAAGGGGAGAAATCAAGTCCCTGTGGCCATCTGCCACCAGGTTCCTGAGGGGACTAACGTTCATGCCTAGAGGCCCAGCTTGGGGGTATTCACCAGCTCACGTGACTCAGGCGACAGAGGCCAGGCTGGGTTTCGGAGCCATGACTTCCTCTGGGCTCTACCTCTCTAATGAAACGTGAAGTGATGGAGTGAGAGATGAATTGTTTCTGTGATTTATGACATAAAAATGTACCTGAAAACCAACACCCTATGGGGGAAAGCAATGCCTGGGAAGGAGGGGGGAGCCAAGAAGGGGCTGCCTGTGTCCCACACAGGCCCTGCCACCAGCATGTGAAAACTCCACTCCCCGTGTCCCTGGCACCCTGGGTGCCTGCCTCCTACACGCTCGCTCCCTGCACTCTCTCCCTGCTCCCCGCTAGCCCTCTGGACCCACCCTCCCCCTGCCCCTCTGCACCCTCTCCGCAAGCCCCTATCCCTGCTCCTGCAGTTCCCCACACACCCCTGGGGTTCCCATTCCCCCAGATGCCTCCTCCCCAACTTGACTGAAAAGGGCTCTGCCGAGGGAATAAACAAGCAGCTTGCTCCACCATACCACGGAGAGAGGAGATGAAAGCCCGGGGTTTCTCCTCTGATCATGAAACAGGCTCTGAAAGGGTGCGGGGCTGGAGCCTTTATCTACTTCATACTCGGAAATGGTTTTAGAATGAACTGCTAAGATAAGCTTCCTTAGACTTTTCTCGGTTTTAGAGGCTTGTGGGTGCGGGGCAAGGGTTTCAGAGCATTTTGATTTTGGCAACAAACCCACAGAAGTGAACTCACGACTGAGAGGCTGAGACGGGGCAGGCAAGTTATAGCTGGGCTCAGAGAGCCGTGGAGCTCCCGGCCAAAGTGGCTGCCAAATTCAAGGAGCCGACTTACTCGTGGTACCACATCCCGGGCACAGGGACGGGATGGAGGCAGAGAACAGCAGACGTAGGGGGCTGCCAGAATCTCTCTGCCTGGCAGGGCCCCCAAACCTAACCCGATGGCAGCCCCGAATTCCCTGGGGGTCCTGGGGACTCCAGGAGCAGCTACATGTGCCTTAAGTGCAGGGGAAAACCAAATCGAAGTGCTGAGAAGTCCAGGGAGTGGTTTCAGGGGCAGGATGGTGGTGGCTGGGAGGGTACAAGAGGGATTCTGGGGGCTGATAATGTTTTTTTTTCTGGATGGAGGCTACATGGGTCTGTTCATTTCGTGCAAGTCTATAGAGCTGACACCTATGATTTGTGCACTCTTCTGCAGGAATGTTCCACTTTAACAAAAATTTACGCCAAAAATTATGTATGTGTATACACATATACACACACTTTGGAGCCCCGAATCTGAAAAGAATGGGCCACAGGAAAGAGCAGGGGGCCACTGAAAACCCCACCCGTCTTTCTATCTCTAATGTGCAGGGGTCTTCAGGAAGAATCCCGGGTGTGCTGGGAAGAGGCCCAGGGCCCAGCAAGCTGAGGTTAGGGGTGGGGGGTGCTGGTGCTGCCTTTACTGCAACCAAACCAAATGATTTCTGAGAGCAATGACAAAGCTACTAAAGTGATTTCTACTTTTGACACACATACGCATACACACAAAGTTTTCTAATTCACCCAAAGCATTTTTAAAAAATATTTTCCCTGATGGGAGGGGCAGGGGTGAGGGTGTGTGGAATGGATGCTGCTTTGGAAGGTCACTTGGTTCTTTTAGATTTTTTTTTTAAGGCACTTCCTTCTGATAGACTTTTGCTTTCAGAAAATACTTTAAAAAGAGATCAAAGCACTCTCTCTCTCCCGAACCCACTTTCCCAGTGTCTTCAACCCTTACTTCTCTTATCATCCACGCCACTGGGCTCTGACGCTCTGTATACAGAGCGAGGGCAATTGGCTTTGAAGCCCTGGATTAAACTGGGCCAAATCCTTGCCTCAGAATAACAAACAATACAGGTTCAACAGGAGTTCTCATCGGTAGTTCATTTTTCAAACGCAAATTCACTGTCACTAACACAAGCAACATTGAACTCAACAGGCTATGAAGTCTGATAGTGGAGATTTATCTGGTGGCAAAACCATGACCTAGGAGTAGGGCAGTTAGACAGTTAGGAAATTTTCGTTTTTAGTAGGTTTATATTTAAATTTTTGTGGAGCTCACTTTTATCTATGTTTGGGAGAAAATGCAGTTTCTCACATGTATCAAGGGACTTGATGAGGCCAAGAGAGGGGTCTGCTCTCCACAGTTATCAGCATGAACCCTCTGGCTGCAGGGGCCTGAAAAGACAGAGACTGGCTGGGGAGGGGTTTGGCCCCCAATTTATACCCGACATCAGGGATTCATGAGCATTCAGAAATTGGCGTCTCATGCTGTGGTTGGCATGTTGCTCAACTGTTTGCCAATTCAAAGTCACTATCCAATGAAGGGGATTCTTTTCTCCTTTACCTACAGACTTTCAAGGAAGCAAAGAACCAAGGCAGGAGGCTTGTGACCCAAGTACTCAAATTGGCTTGAGAACACACTGGCTACCCTTCTCCAGGGCCCGCTCCTGCCCAAGCAGACGGCAGTTACCATGTCCCTACCAGCCAGGACCACCAGGACACAGCAACAACCCACACTGAACAGAGCCCTATAAAAAAAAAAAAAGCAATCGAGGGAATTTCTCAAAGTTGGGGTTTTGTTTTGCGAGTAGGGTGCATCATCTGCTTGGCTTGTGTAGACCTGGCAGTTGCCTAACTTCCTTTCTCTGGGTTTGGTTTATGTTCTTTCAGTTCTCCAGCTCTAGCAGTCTAGGAATCCATGATTCAAGCAAGGTTCAGGAATAATGTCCAGACTGTTGAGAAATGGAAGTGCTCAGGAAGGGTTCCAGTAGAGACACACAGAGTTTGGGGAGCAGGGAGAGTCACTGGACAGGATGCTGAAGGGCCACAAGCCCAAGCAAAGTCAACTGCATCCAGAAGCCACCCTTGTGAGGGAAGTGGTGGGGGAGGGAGGGAGACACAGTGATCCGAGCAATAAAAGCGGTCTCTGGAAACGGTGGGCAGCTACTCAGGAGGAAATGGGGTCTGTGAGAACTGGGGGCTTTCGGGTTTGGGGGAGATGAGGCAAGTGACTTTCTTAAGGACTAGATCTGGTGCGAGGATAACTTTCTGCCAGAGAAATGAAAGGCTATCATGAATCCATAATTGGCCAACATCACCACAGCCATTTTAAAATTATTATCATCATTCCCTAAGGCCCATTCCTTAAGCTTCTACTGTATTCAGACACAAACACCTGCCTGAAGCTGGTCACCTCTTGAAGTGTGTGTGTATGTGTTGGGGAGGAGGAGAATGGAGGACCCACGCAGAGGCAGGAAACCCCACTAAGGAGAACCACAAAATGCCTTTTGTTTAAAATAGCAGAGGCCAGGCATGCCCAGAGAACATACTGGCCATTTATTTTCAATAGACAAGGCTATTTTTGCTGCCTAAAAATGGAAGTTCTGGATCTTTTTCTTCTTTCCTTCTCTCCATCCCAGCAGGCACAAGAAATAAGCTCCCCTTTCACACCTGTAATCCATTTGACAATTTACCGAGCCCCACCCAGTGACACGATGCCCTGGTTGAGTCTCACAGTAACTGGATAAGGCAGGCCAGCAGGCAGGTCTATAGTCACCATTTACCTGACACTACTGAGCTACAGGGAGGTTTAGTGACTTGCCCAGGTGCACTCAGCTGGGAAAAGGCAGGGCTTATGACACCTGGCCCCCACTGTCCTCAGTGACCACTCCCCTGCCACATCCTCTGCCAACCCCTCGATGCATCCTCCTTCCCCATCTCCATCCCCCAAATGCACCAAACTCAGGCTCTAGTCTACCTGCTTCTTCCTCTAAAGGCCCTGGGTATTGATGTAAGACCTGCCCAACTAAGACCTGAGGGTGGCTAAGTGCCCAGATCTCACTCTCAAAAAAATAATGAAAGTTTTACAAGACCTGCCAGTGAGCAGACACGGGAAGGACCACAGCACCCCTACACTACTCATAGCAACTCCCCTGGCTTTTTGTTTCCTTTGAATAGCCTGTCATTCCCTAAGCTGTTTGGTAAGTAGAGCCAAGTTCTCTAAAGAGAAGAAGAAAACGCTGAGTGGATGCCAGAGGTTTCTGTAATTACTATCAGCTAGCATTTCTTATGTGCTTACATGTGCCAGGAGCTATGCTAGGTGCTTTACATACAACTGCATGAAGCAGACCTGTTCTTTTATAGATGGAGTGAGGAGGGGGCAGAGACCCATAAGTACCTGGTCTGAGGGTTACACAGATGGAAGCAGCTGAGTTGGAACTGGACCCTCCCCTCCCCCACCCCTGGTCTGATCCAAATCCCTGGCCCTTGATGCTTCACCATCTTCTTCCTCTGAAAGCCCAATTACGGGCCACAGCCATGCAAAGGGACATTTTCAAACCTAACTTGTCCCTGGGGACCAAAATCAAGTGTGTGTATGTGGAGGAGGCAGAGTAGGTGGGGAGGTGGTTTCTAAACCTGAACTTTCCAGTCTCTCTGTCTATAGCAACCCCCCTTCACCTGGTAACTGCTCTTTGCCATTCCTGCCCCACCCCAGACATGCTGCCCCAGAGAATCTCTCAGTCATCCCCCGGCTGCGTCTTCCTCCTCTCCTCCCTGTTCTCTCCCACAGACACCAGCGCATTTTAAAGATGTTTCCACTTTATAAATCATCTCTCTCTGGCAGCCACCCCAGAGCTGCTCCCCGAACAAGACATACACACAGCCCAACGGTGGTGCCTTCCCGTGCCAAAGACCAGGCTGGAAACAGAAAAGCAGTACCCCTGGGGTGAGAGACTTGCGGTTTGAGCTACTCCTGAAAAAGTTATGAAAATTGAATAGTATGGTGCCCTACCCTTTCCCCATCTGCTGAGGGGCTTGCTTCTCTGGATCCCCAACTGGTGCAATCTGGAGAGAAACCCTGCTGGTCCTCAAAGGGAGGAGGACAAAGCAGCCCCCAGGGGGTCAAAAGTGCTGGAGTTGGGACTTTTAGCAATGTGATCCTTTGCATTTCATTTGCATAGCACTGCCCCTCCCCCAATCCTTCCCTCTCTTGCACCCTTGCTGGGGTAGCCCTAGGCAGGCTTCTGTTCCAGTCCCAGGCTGCAGTGAGATGTGGCCCTGAGAACCAAGTGGCAGAGGGGACTCCTACAGGCCCCCAGGTTGGGATCTAGAGGACTTCTAAGGGAGCCCCCTGAAGATCCTCATTGCTCCCACCCGCCATCCTCAGAAGTAAATCTCCAGCGCTGACCTGCCCGCCTTGGTGATGATCATCTCCGTGCCCGCCTCATGGAACTTCTTCCAGAGCTCCTTCTCATGCAGCCCCACCTTGATGTTCTCGATGGTCTGGGGATAGGAGGGAGGGGGACTCATGTGTGCCTGGCCCATGGCTCCATGTGGAGCCTGAGGAAAGAACGAAGACCTGAACAACTGCGCACCCGCAGCCAGCCTGGGAGCTCATAACTCAAGATTTTGTTTCACAAAATTATTTCGAATTATTGGTGAATTTAAAAAAAATTAATCAATGGCTGAAACTCCTCCTTCCGGGCTGCACCTACAGATGTGCCCGCAGAGGACACAAATATTAACTGACCCAGGTTAGACAACACTCCTGCACACACATAAACACGTCTGTCGCCAGCCACAGGCTTGCAGACAGACACAGACACAGGGAGAGGCGCGCACACACCCTGGGCCAGACGCCCACCGCAGACACGGCACACAGATCGACACAGGCCAGATTTCGTTCATGATGATCCTCTGGTTATCACGGTGAAGCCTGTCGGCGACCTCCCCACGGTGCTGGAGTACCCGCAGCGGCTCTCCTGCGCACCCCAGCAGGGTTGGCTCTTCCCGCCTGGTTCCAGGCTTTCGCCACCCCACCCTCCACCCGCTAACCCCTTCTGGGAATCGTGGGAGCCGCACGCACGCTTGGCCTGGGGCTCGCTCTGCTGCCCCAGGAGTCTCTCACGGGGACTGGTTCCAGAGTAGCCCTGAGGGCTCAAAGTGGAGAAGGGCCCGAAAGGCAGACAGTGAGCCCTGCCCAGTGGACAAGAGGCAGACAGTCCCAGACTCTGCCAGGTCCCCCCGAAAGCTAGTCCTGCCCACAAGTAGACGCAATGACGGACACCGGCGGTCCTGCAGACAGACCGACGCTCAACATTTCCCCGACGGCTGGCGCAGCCCTACCTGCTCAGCTGCAGTGGCGACGTCGGCGCCCGGGCCCCCCGGGGGGCTGCCGAGCGCGGCTCCGCTGAGGCCCGGAGCGGCCAGCGCGGGCTCGGGGGCGTTGGATGCGCTGGCCTCGCTGAGCGCCGGGCCCGGGGCCCGGAAGGCCTCCTCGCTCTCCGACAGGCCCTTATCCTGCAGCATCTCCTGCGGGCACAACACACGCGGAGTCACTCGCCCAGGTCCACACTCGCCAAAGGCCCCAAGGCCCTCTCCAGCCGAGCAGAGGCTTCGTGAGGGGTGGAGGCCTCCCTGGTGCACGTGGACCCCGCCCCCTCCCGAGATGGGGGAGGGAGCGTGCGAGGAGGGCAGGAACCTCGCCTCCACCCTCTGAGCTCTGTACCTGGGAGGGTCTGCGTGCGTTCAATGGTTCAATGTCTGCCTGACTCCGCTGTGGGCTGTGGGGATGAGTAGGTCTGGGGGAAGGTCCGCCCTCTCAGCGTTGCCCCAGCTGCACCCCGAGTCCCTCCCTCCTGCTGGGTTCCAGTGGAGCCTGAGGCCTGGGTCTTCTCTGCTGTCCCGGAATAACCGGGGTCCAGACCTCACTCTTGGCCCAGGGCAGCCAAGACACCCCCTGGGCATGCAGGAGAGCAGAGCCAGGCCAGGAGGGCAGGGCCCAGGCTCCTGAAACTCCACACCTGTTTGCAGTGAGGACCTAGGGCTGGGCGGCCCTTGAGGCTGCTACTCACCCATCTGCCCTCACCCACCCCTTCAGATGGCACTCAAGTAGAGACTTCCTGAACCAAAGGCTTTCGCTCTGACACATTCCCACTCCACAGATACCCTCTTCCCACACCGGCACAAATATCCTCAGACACAGCACCCGGAGCAGCCACGCTAGGGCCACTCCCATCCAGCCCCTGAACCTGGCCAGGAGCCTCCCCAGCCCTGCCCTCACATTCACACCGCTGGCTCCTCCACTCACACACTTTAGCTCCAAAGGGCTCTGTTTTGGGCCAAAGGACGCAGACCCTTCCCAGCTGAAGACCAGGCCAGCAGAGTGGGTCCAGTCCAAAGGAAGAGTGTAGCTCTGCCTCAGGGCACAGCTACATTTCCCCACGTGTCTGGGCCTATTCACCGGCCTACCCCTATGTCTGCTCCCTGCCCGCGCACAGCTGGTCCTGGGATAGCAGGATGAGAGCCCAGCCTGTGAGGAGCGTCCCTCAGCCTGTCCAGCGTCCCTCAGGGGTACAACCCTGCGTTATCTCTGCTTCCCCTTTCCACCTCCCGGCTCTTCCTCATGCTTCTGGATCTGGCCAAGTGCTGGTGAGCTTTCTGTCTGTCTGACTGCCTGTCTTGTGGCCTAATGTTCCACTTTTCTCCTACTACCTTCTTTCTGGTATCCCTGAGCATCCCAAGGCTCAGGCCCCCGGCCCACCCCGTTCACTGGCCTCCTCACGCGGGGTTTAGACTTCGGCTCCCAGGGTCTCACAAAGTAAACAAGCCAAGTGCAACGGAGGAGATAAAAAGGGGCCGGGACCAGTCTGGGTTGGGAAAAACCCATAAAGATAAGGCTGACAGCCCAGCGGTCTTGGGCCACAGCCTGCAGGGAGCAAGGCTCGCAGGGTATGGCCAGCGCCAGCACCCTCTTCAGGCCACGTGCGGTTCGGCCGAACCTCAGAAACCCAGGAGCCCCCAAACAAGGAACGCTGCCTAACTAGGGTAGTTGCCCGCTGGGCCAAGGCGCTGGTGCCGACTGTATCTGGGGCCCAGTTGGGTTGGGTACCAGCGATCGGCCGGTCCCCGGTGTTGGGGCCCGTGGAGCCAAAAGGAGGGGCCGTCTCGCGCGTTGCCCGCCTGACCACTGGGTCCTCTGCTGGGCACTCGTCACACCCACAGCGGTGCAACGGAACCCTCGGGCTCGCGCTCCTCTCGTAGTCCTGCCCCGCGCGGAGCTGGTCCGCGGCTCGTGTGCACTGACGCCGGTCCCGCAGCTCAGACTGGCGACCGGGCCTGCGCGGTGCTCTCCTTCCCCTCTTCGGGGTTTACCTCTTCCTTTTCTCTCGGCCACGCAGCTACATCCTGACCTCGCGACAGCTTACCCTCTCCGAAGCTCCTCGCCAATTTCCTTTTTTCCCGCCCGGCTGGCCCTGAGCGGCCGTTCCCGCGGTCCCCGGCTCACTCGGACGCCTGCAGGGCCGGGTCCCGCACTCAGCCGAGGCCGGCAGCCCGCGCTCGTCCGTCCTTCACGTCGACCCCTCCGCGGGCGCCGCACGCCGGCTCCTCGCCCCTTGCGATTGGGTCCATAGCTTTCAGCTGCCTCGTTTTCCAAGGAGGACAGCGTTTTTCTTTTCACTTTTAGGTTACTGGTGATATTTCTCTTGCACTGGGGGAATTGTTAATATTTCGTACTATTTTTAATATTTTAATTATTTCTACTATCAGAATAGTATTCTGGTCAGTTCAGTAACATTAAGAATATTTATCCGATCACATGAATTATTACTACTTTTTACGTGTAATACTATATGGTTTAAGTACTGGCTTGATTCGTTAAATTATTATTATTAAATATGTTGTTGCTTTCCTGTCACTGTTCCATCAGTCCAGGCCCTCCTATTACCAATATCTAGGTAATTATATATAATATTGCAATAGGTCATGTTAATCTATCGGTTATTTTTAATTTTTGCTCCCTATCTCTAAAATGTTTTTTGCCAGCCCTTCATTCTGTTTATACTTCGTCACACTGTGTTAATAGCTTGTTGTTTACCATAACTTAATATAATTGTTCTCCAAATTTATGTTAATTTTTTCACATCCTTATAATACTTCTTGTTATCTTACCATAATTTGTTTTGTTAGAATTGTTTATAATACTCCAGGTATTATTCTTCATCACATCGCAACAATATCTTGTTACTTTGTCATTATTTGTAATGTTACAGATCTTAATTTGCTAGTTATTTTTCATCACTTCATTACTTCTTGTTACTCTGTCATACTTTGTAATATTGCTGTAGCTCTTAATACTCTGATTATTTTTCATCACATTGGTACAATACTTCTTATTACTCAACCATTATTTATAATGTTGTAACTATTAATACCTTGGTCATAAATTGTCTTATTACTCCAGCAATTCTTGTTACTGTGTCCTTATTTATATTACTATTGCTCTTAAAATTTTAGTTAATATTTGTTTTAATAATTCAGTACAGTATCAATAATACATTCTATGATAGTATTCTGTCACTACTACTAATAGTATTTCCCTTAATGATAATTTGCATTGTTTACCTTTTTTCTTACAGTTTCCTACGGTTTCCTACAGCTTAGTAATTTGTTATGCTATTACTGTATGTTAAACTATTGCTGTTGATTTTAATACAATAGTTCTTACATTGTTCCTATATTTGCATTTTGTCTTCAATCCTTTTAAAATTATGATTACTATTTTCACTTGATTCTGAAAGTGACGATTATTTTATTAAGCCCAAGTGTTATATCAGTTATGCCGCTCAGCCCTGTTTCTTTGATAATTGCTCATGTTCTCATAATTTTTTATCTTCGATCGTTATTTACATATATGTTCCTTCCTTTAATTTTAACAAGTCTGTTGCATCAAAGACTCTGAAGTCCAGTATTATGATCACTCACATTTCTACATCGATTTTCGACACCCGTACCCAGGCCTTCTTCCTGGGCCTTTCACGTCCTGCAAACACCAATTTCAGGGCCACCGCTTTGCCTGTCACGACTTAACCTTGTTCCTTTGGTGCTGCTGCTGTCGTTTCTATGCTCTTGGTTTCCTGGACCCAATTCGTCGCATTATTCTGAGAGGACGGCTGGAGAGCCCCAATCCCTGGGTGTCGGCCGAGACAGCAGCCCGACCTAAGGCACTTACACGCAGCAGAGCCACCTTCCTTGCAACCTTGCCTGCCCCCGAGGTTCTTACCCCGGGTTGCGTTATTCATCTCTTTCCAGCTCATCATCCTCCTCGACCCAGCAGCCTAATCCTGGGCCCCCTTGGCCCCTGCCCCTCACATCGCCATCCCGCTGGAACCGACACTCACCCTAACTGCGCTGCGGCATGCGGAGGCGCCAGCTGCCCAAGGTCCACTGCAGGCTCGGGTCTGAGGAGCACGGGCGCGGGACAGCCGGGGCTCCGACTCCGCACCGCTGGGTCAGGGTCCCACTGCCCGCCGTGCCCTCGGGGCCGGACACATCCCGGCTCTGGAGCGGTCCCTTGATCTCCAAGGCTGCACTTTGGGGCCTCAGCTCCCTCCTCCTCCCTCCCTCCCTCCCTTCAGGGCCCCCCCCCACCCGCGCTGACGTCGCTGCTGTCAATCAGTCCAAGCCCGCTGCCCCCCAGGGAGGGAGGCTCCAGGGTCCCCAGGCTCCGCGGCCCCAGGACGCTGAGCCCCAAGCGAGCCGCCTGCTCCTCCACCGCGTGGCCCAGTGCCCTCCCCGCGGCCCTGGGGACCCGCAGGGCGGGTAGGGGCTAGGAGCCCCGCATGGTTTAGATTAGAGAGGCGGGAAGAGAGGACGAGCGGCTGGGCCGCGCCGCGCAGCTCTCAGCCGAGACTTGACAACCAGGACCGTTCGCCCGGCCCCGCGGTGCCCGCAGCCTGGGGCGCTCCGCGGCCTGGCCTTGCTCCTACCGGGGCCCACTTCCAGGCAATGGCCTCCACCGGCCCCCAGGCCGCGGACTCCCCGCCCGCACACACCCCTTCTCTGAGACCTACTCCCAGCCGTGCACACTATTTATTTGTGAGCCCATTTTCCGGGGTCGCAGGCGCACACGCGTCTCACCCGCCCACGCTCCGTTTAGCGACCGTGCCCACCACACGTCCTCACACCTACAGGTTCCAGGACGGTCCCGGCGACCGGGGAACAGGCCTTGTCTGGGCACGGACTCTCTGCTCACCCTCTCTTCCTTGTCCTGGCCCAAGCAGCAGCGGGTGCTGGCCACAGCCAGGCGCGCCTCAGAGATGGCTGCGGAGGTGACGGGTAAAGGCAGGCCCTGCACCGGCAGGGAGGAAGCCCAGAGGCCGGGCATGGAGTGGCGGAGGCGGCGGGGAGGTGCTGGGCCTGGTCTCAGCTCAGGCCTTGATGGAGCCCAGGCAGAGCTCGAAGGTGCCAGTCTTGGCATAGCCTCTTGTAGAAACTGGCCCTAGGCAGGACTCTGCCGCTGGCAGCTCCTTGAGATCCTGAAGTGCTGAAGAGGAAGCCCAAAGACTGCCCCAGTCTTGGAAGGGGAGACCGGGGAGCATCCCCCTCCTAGCCCGCCGGGCCTCAGCCTCGTGCCTCAGAAAGAGAGGCTCTCTGCCGCCTAGACCTGCCTGCCTAGTCTCTGACTCCCTCTGTCTCCACTTACCTCTATGTCTCTCTGTCTGTCTGTACCTCCCCACAGGACCCTGCAGCTCCACAGGCATGTGGACCTTTGTGGACCTCAGTCTATGCCTGAGTCTCAGCCTGTCACACACCCAGAATCCTGGGGCAAGGACAGGTTTGCCCACCCATCCTCAAAGGTCCCAGAATCCTCTGTCAATAAGGACTCCCAGATAGCCCCTCAGTTCTTAGCAAGGGCTACATCCCTCCCTCCAATGGTGTCCCCAACTTCTCCAATCAGCCTTTGTTCCTTTCCAGATTCTGACCTCAAAATCAGATTGAAGGCAACAGGACAGGAAAACTCCTTTCCTGGATGAATCTGTCCTTTTTCTAATGCTAGGAAATGGAAAGTCAGCATCAATGCCTCCCTCACCACCACCCCCTCCCCACCCCCAACTCAAAGGAGAAAGCAAAAGACCAATTTGGAAAAGCCAGCTGCTGCTGCTCTCAGGAGCCTGCAACCCAGCTCAAGAATCCCTATCACCCCCCGAAGCACCAGATCCCACGACCCCATCTTCCCTTCATGACTCTTCTCATGGAGTCCCAAACCAAGGAGGGAAGTAAGATCTAAGAGGAGTGGAGAAGCTTAATCCTTCCCCAATCCTGCCTTCTCCTGGAGTGGAGAAAGGGAAGGCCCCACTGTTTCAGGAGATGTCTGGGGAGTCATGTTTCCTGTGTTAGGGAGACCTGGATGACACGCCTCAGCTTCTGCTCCCAAGCTCCCTCCCATGCCTCTCCAGCAGCCTGTAGGGAAATCCCTTGCAAATAAATAGCATACACACCAACCAACCAACTACCCTGTGGAATGGTGAACAGGAAGGGCAGAATCACCAGGTACTATGGGAAGACCAGAGTTAGGTCAGACTCCGGAAAGAATTTGTTGACAGTCATTGGAGGAAGTTCATAATGAGACCATATAGTGTAGCTCTTTTAAAAAATTAGACTGGAGCCTTTCTATAAGTGAAAGCCTTTCTGGAGACTCATGGGAGACAGTCTAAATCAATATCAACTGGCCCAGGATGATGTGGAAAAGTGAGATACGGAAGGCACAGGCAAGGCTCTGACAATGAAAAGGAAGGGGCAAACCAGCCAGCAAGTGAGTAAGAGAGAGGTTATACACATGCATTCCCCATTACTACACTGGAATACCTCATCTCACTGATTCTAAGACACACATTTCTCACATTTTGACACCTCTGAAATCAGGATGCATCTTATAGTCAATGGTTTAATTAGCAGTGTCATAGTTTAATTAGCACTATTTTTTTTCTTACTGGTATATAAAATAATAGAGTAGCCTATAACTGATGAAGTATAGTATTTGCTAATAGCCTGTGGAGAAAAGAAAAAGATCAATTTTTTTCCCTCCACAACTGTTTTGAGGAGTTCAAAGTACAAAAACCCTCCTCAACCAGCTAACTAAATAATTGACTGTAACCAAGTATCTATCACTCTGATTTGAGTTGACTTAGGGAAAAGTGCTCAGGTTTGGTGTCAGGCTAACCTTGGTTTTGAAACCTGGCTCTGACTCTTGGTTCACCATTTTGCAACTGTGTGACCTTGGCCAGGTCCCTTAACACTCACATAAAATGGGATAATCACACCAATCTATCAGCTTATTATAAGGATTACCTAAGTTAATGCATGTAAATGCCTGGCATGTGGTAGGTGGTTGATCAAGGTTAGTTCCCAAGTATTTTTAAAATTTATCTTATTCTCCGCCCCCCTCCCTTTTCCAGAATGGTTGTGGTGGTTTATAACCAAAATTAGCTAATAAAAATACATATTAGGATCAAGGAAAAAGGAGAAAGCATATATGCTATCACTAAGTGCTGACAAAGTTGTTATAATGGAGAGTAAAATCTGGCTTACCAGCAGCAGGCAAAATAGTGGTTCTCCATTTCAGAAATGTGAAAATAGTAACTCTTTGGTGAACAGTGAAAAAGCAAACTTTGTCCTGGCCCTAAATTTTAAAATAGTTTCTCATGTAAATTTCTGTTATTTTATCTGTATAGTGGTTTACCATTTACAAAGTGGTATCACAGCCTCTGTCTCATTTGATGCTTTATTAACTCCATTTTGCCTCCATTTTATGGATTCATTCATCCAAAGAAATACATATCAAGTGCTTACTATGTGCCAGACACAAACAGGAGGAAAGGCCAGTTAACCATGCTATTAGTTAGCCAACTGATTGCCTAACTAGCTACTAACTACAAATTCATTAATGAATGACCTGTGAACTAACTAATTAATCACCTAAATAATCCATCCCAGGGGGAGTAGGGGCCACAGGATAAGCTGAGGAAGCCAGTCAGCACAGTCAGGTGGTGTGCCCAGAGCCTAGGGTGGGCAACTACATTTAAAAAAAAAAAACAAAAAAAACCCCTAGGTTTTGGAGCACTTGATAAATACCAATGCCAAGTCCCAACCCAGATCAACTGGGTCAGAATCTGAGAGTAGAGCCAAAACTGGGCATGGTGGCATGCCTTAGTCCCAGCTACTTGGGAGGTTGAGGCTGGAGGATCACTTGAGCCCAGGAGTTCCAGGCAAGGCTGGAAACCACTGCTCTATGCCAATCACAGAAATCCTGTTCCCCACTCTCCTCGTCTCCCTTGTAGCTAGGGATGGTCATGGGATCCAGTGTTGGCCAATGAGACCTAAGCAGAAGACTAGAGGGGAGGAAGGTTGTGGCAAATATTTTGTTTTCTTGATAAAGGGAAAGACACCGTCTTCCTTTCCCCTGTGGATGAGATCCATGGAGTTCCTCTAAAGACCTTTAGGCAAGAAGGATTAAAGTCAATATGCTAAGGATGTAAGAGCAAAAGGACAAAAAGAGCCTGGGTTCCTAGTGCATTACTGACCAGGTAAACCAGCACCAGCCTGCTTCTCGTAATGTGAGAGAAATAAACCCTGTTTCTTTTGATCATTGTTAGTCTGGATCTCTGTTACTTACAGCCAAATACACTCCTGAGACATACGTAAAGGTCCCAGCTCAGTGCTGAGTAACTCCTGCATAAGGAAAGATACATATTGGAGTGTCTATGTGTCCTTGTGTATATATACATGCCTTCCCATCCAAATCCAGGAAGCAAAACTTCTCCCCACTTCCTTCCCAGCTATGTTATTCTGTGAATGCTATCATCTTAGGCCTGGGATCCTTTTTAAGCCTCCATAAGGGAAAGGATGGATGAGGCAGCAGGGAATTTACCTGTCCCCTGCAGCTTTCTTTTTGTCACCCAGTAGCCCCAAATCATGGTTCCAGATTCCTCGGCTCACAGCCCATTGGGATTAGCGAGCTCAGGACAGCTGGGGTGAGGGCAGGAACTTGAGCTCGTTCTAGGAGGTTGGAGGGTTGAGCACAGGGGATTGGGTAGAGGTGGCAGCTGCTGCTGCTGCAGGTGCTTCCCTCACACCACAGATGCGGGTCTGCTCACCTGACCTCTCACCCTGGCCTCCCAGGCCTTCTCCCACCTGGGGGAATTAGGAAACTTCCAGTCAGAAGGAACTGAGGACTGGGCTGCCCTGATCCCTGACCTGGGTGAGGCAGGCTGCTCTGAGACCCTGTGGGACTAAGGGCAGAGACAGTGATTCACCAACGGCACAGGTGGAGCCCTCCTATAACGCTCACTGGAGACACCTCAGAGGTAAGGAATGAATTTTCAAATCTGGGATTTGCATAGCCTGAGCAATCTAGACCTTCTGATCAAGAGTCCTCATTTGTAAGTGGGTTCTCTGAAGAAAGTCAGCTTCCCCCTCCCCCCTATTACACTACATGCTCCTGAACTGCCACCTCCTTCTCTTTCCTCCAGTAAGACTTCTCTAAAATATATGCTTATTTTTTACTACCTGAGG